GCCTTTATACTTCAGAAGTGGCCATTCTTGGTGCTTGCTTTGATTCAGTTTTATTAAAATTTCTTGATGTATTTTGGTTATAAAAAAATTCTACACCATATTGATAAGCAAATTGGGTCGTTGGGGTTTTAACATTTTGTGATTGCGTGAAAATTTACAGAGCACACGCGCTTCCTACTCAGTTGCACCCATGATGTTTTGTGACATCCACGAGCCCTCCATGTCATTAGTACTCTTCCCACTTCTCCCTGGGCTCCCGGTTTCCATTCCTCCTGCCCTGGCCCTTCCTCGCCTCTGAATTTTGTTTTGGGTCCAATGCCGTGCTTTGGCTTCATAGGGTCGATAGTACATTTCTTCTGGGTGTTCGTGTTTGCTTTATAGGCAAGTCTGTTGTTTGCCTGGAAGGTCCTGTTCCAGATTTGAAGGGTGTGTAATCCCCGTCGTCCGCAGGGGAGGGGCTGTTTCTTATAGAACAGGAAATCGGGGTAGCCTGTCTAGAGCTGCTATTTGTGAGTATAAATGTCTCTATTTGCCCTCCCTTTATCTTTGGGTCTTAGGTTGGCTTTTATCTTTCTGTTTGCTTCCTGGTTGTCACAAGGTACCTGCTATGTGCCGGCCTCTAGCAACAGTCTTGAGGGCAGCCGGGCACCCAGGGCGGGCCTGTTGCAGCTCCTCACCCTAGCTGCTCCTGCGTTAGCTTGCAGACCGCCCCTGCTGTGAGAGTTGTGTTTGCTTGTAGCTTAATGATCTGTAGGCTCTCATATGTCACAGAATTTAGTGATCTACCTAACACATGGGCTGACGCATTTTCCCTTCATTGTTCTTTGACTTATGGTATTAAAATGTATTTTTAAAAAGGTTTGTCCTCTAGTCAAATTTAGTAATCATTCATGTCTTCTGGGTTATTAATCAGACCTAGAAAGGCCTTCCTCCACTCAAGATTATTTGTATTTTTATTCATTTACTTTACTTTTTTTTTTTTAAGTCAGAAAGTTCAACTTATTAGAGGCCACAGGTCGGGCAGGGCACAATGTTACCAAGGTCTTCCTGAATGCAGGGCCGGCCCCCTGTCCATGGGGCCTCCATGGGGGGGTACACTTGACTCCATAACCATCGGGGATGAGGTGTGGCTTAGCCACCATGTCCTCAAACGGGTCAGCATGAAACGTGGTGGAGCCCCACCCTCCAAGCTGGCTCTTCTGGCACCAGGGAGCTTGAACTTGGCCCTGCACGAGGCTTCTATCCCATGTTCCTTGTTTTGAAGCGTGGTACGGATGGATGATGGACATGGTGGCTTGACCGCTATGGATCCTCGCCTCAGGGCCTAGCAGCTTTCCAGAGGCGCCTCAGATCCCAGTCTGGAGCCTGTCAGCCACCAGCAGTAGGACAAGGTCCAGTCCCACAGAAATGGGCCTGTGGCCACACTGGGTGGGGCAGCGGCCCATGAAAACAGCCGGATCTTTGTGGTACGCCAAAGGAAAAGGGCTCGAGACGATTTTTAAATTCCTTGTTTTCTTTTTTTTTTTTAATACTTTTACTGGGGGCTCATACATCTCTTATCACAATCCATACATTCATCCAGTGTGTCAAGCACATTTGCACATATGGCACCATCATCATTTTCAAAGCATTCTCTTCCCACTTGAGCCCCTGATATCAGCTCCCCGTTTCTGTCCCCTTTCCTCCCCCGCCCACCCTCATGAACCCTTGATAAGTTATAGATTATTTTTTCCATATCTTACATCGTCCTCCATCACCCCTCACCCAACATTCCTTGTTTTCTTCTAGCACATATGCAACTTCATCTTTATGTATTTTAACATTTGCTCTCATAAGTTTGTTGTAAAGCATCAGGAATCCAACTTACGGTTTTAACATGGTCCTCAGATTTTTACCATACAGTATATTAAATAACTCACATTTCCCCTACTAGTTTGAAATGCCATATTGCTCAGATACTAAATTCCCATATATAGTTTATATCTGGACTTTGTATTCTGTTCGTTGTTTTACTTGTTGAGTCATATACTAGTACTACCATTTTAAAAATGATGGTAACATCATAATGATGCTTCACACTTCTCCCCCTTTACTTTGACATCTTCCTTTGCAGTCACGGTTTTGGCTGTGGTTGGTCTGTGGTTAGAAGAGTGGGAGAGAAGCGATGGCCATGGCTGACAAGCCGATGTCTGTCTTGGCCAAGCTCCATCTCCCACTGCCTGGTCTCCAGTTTCTGGATGTGAGGCAGATGTGCAGACACAGTACAGTACAGTACAACCCCAGTCTCCAGATCGTAATAAAATCTACAGATTAAAATTGAAACACATGAAGTGAAGTTACTGGATCCAAAGTCAACCCAAAATAATTATATTCCTCTGTAGCATCTTCAAAAACTAAAAATATACTTAACCACAGCATCAAAATAGCGAGTATCTAGCAATAGTTCTAATAAAATAGATGCAAGAAATTTATGCAGAAAATGGTATAGCATTGTTGAGAGAATTGAAGGCTTAAACAAGAATATAAAACCACCAAGAACAAAAAATCCTATCAATGTGAATGGGGGGGGCGGGGTGCAGAGTGGAAACCCAAAGCCCATCTGTAGACAATTGGACATCCCCTTACAGAAGGGTCACAAGGAAGAGACGAGCCAGTCAGGGTGCAATGTAGCACCGATGAAACATACAGCTTTCCTCTAGTTCTTTAATGCTTCTTCCCCTCTACTATCATGACCTCAATTCTACCTTACAAACCCAGCTAGACCAGAGCATGTACACTGGTACAGATAGGAACTAAAAACACAGGAAATCCAGGACAGATAACCCCTCAGGACCAATATTGAGAGTAGCAGTACCAGGAGGATAAGGGGAAGGTGGGAGGAGAACGGGGGAATATCACAATGATCTACATCTAACCTCCTCCCAGGGGAGTGGACAGCAGAAAAGTGGGTGAAGAGAGACAGCGGTCAGTGTAAGGCATGAAAAATTAATTTATAAATTATCGGGTTCATGAGGGAGGGGGAAAATAAGTCAATACCAAGGGCTTAAGTAGAAAGAAAATGTTTTGAGAATGATGATGGCCACAAATGTACAAATGTTCTTGACACCATGGATGGATGTATGGATTGTGATAAGAGCTACATGAGCCCCCAATAAAATGATTAAGAAAAGAAAAGTAAAACCAAAAGAAGACGTAGAGAAGATCACAATACAGGCTCATACTTTTATGTCCTCCATTAAACCCGAAAAGGAAAGGACAGACACGGTCTCTCAGACTCTTCATCAACATTAAGACAGTGAAAAAGAAAACCACAGAGTGGGACAATAAGTACCAAAAGTACAAAAAACCCCAAATCCCAGTAAACAGATAGGCAAGGGCCTCAGGCAGATGCTTCATAAAAAGAAATCAAATGGCCTAAAATTTTGGGAAAAGAATGCTTCACTCTGAGTGGTCAGGAACGTGCAAGCTAAAAGCACAATGAGATACCGATGCCCTGCGCCCCCTCCCCAGGAAGCACGCTGCACATATTACTTCTCTCCGTCTGCTGGGCGTGGACCTCACTCCTGATTTTACTGTTTGGAGAACAAACTCACTGCCATTGAATCGATGCCAACTTAGTGACCCTACAGGGCGGAGTAGAGCTGCCTTCTTCAGCGGAGCCTCTGGCGGTTTTGAATCACTGACCTTGTGGCTAGCCGCCCGACAACTCATGACTCACGATGCCACCAGGGCTGCCCTGGTTTTGCTATAGGTTAGTGTTATTTTAAGGTTTGTGGGTATGCATGTTATTTGGTATGATCTGATAGGCTATTTGGGGGTCTGAGAACGATCAAATATTTTTACCCATATAAATTATATTATGTTACTGGCTTCTTTCTACCAGTTAGGCTTATGAAAAATCCCATAAGGTACTTGGATCTGGGAGAAAACTGTACCTGCAAAAATGGTTACCATAAAAAGACACTTTCAAGGGTTGAAGGTGTAGAGAAATGAGGGCTTCCTTGGGAGAGAGAGATGCCGGTGGAGGGTGGGGTGGGATTAGCACCTCTAGGGGCAAGCCTCAGAGCCTTGGTAGTTCAGTGGGTTAAGCTTGCTAACCCAAAGACTAGCTGGGGAAGCCCACCATGTGCTCCAGGGGAGAAAGTTGTGGCGGGACAGTCTACTTCCCTATGATTGTCAACCTAGGGGCCCTGCTGTTCTCGATTCTTAACTCCTGCTCCTTGGGCTCAGAGGGCCTTCCCTCAAGCTCTGCTTTCTGGGCTAACCTAGGATAAGCTAGTGCATTTGATGACTGGAGGAAGCTCCCCAGACCCTGAAGCCTCACTGGATAGATGGCAACAAGCCTCCATTGCTGGTCATCAGTGGCCCGGCGATAAACCACAATACACTGAGTCGTATTACTGCATTGCCACGGAGCTGGCCCCATGGGAACAGAGCAGCTGCTTCAGAGGGTGTTTGTGATCTCATGAAGCGCTTAGGCAGCAAGCCCGCCAGCCAGCCTTGCCGGAAACCAAAGCGGATTGCTGCAAACTGCACCCACCACCCAGCTTCCTTATGTGCTGTGCGAGT